AAAAAAAAAAAAAAAAAAAAAAAAAAAAAAAAAAAAAAAAAAAACAATACATACCGGTAATTCAGTTGAAATAGAATTTGATCTCCGCCCTCTGTTTTATATTTTGCTAATTTCAGTATAAATTGAATTTGAAAGAGTCAGTGTCGATTCCGAAGGCTATAATATATGCAAATCAACCCGCGCTTTTCTGTTCATCGTTACGAAGTTCGTGTGGTGCTTCGATCCGCATTCATGGTTTCTTCTTTTTTTAGAAAATCAGGTTTTCGATTTTTGGTTGCCTTGCGATTCTCTGTTCTTCCATAACCCTTTTCACGTCCAGTGGGTTTGCCGCAGCGAACCCATTGGGACGAAAACAATTAGAATCGTGTTTTTGAATTCTCTGATTTTCATGATAGCGCCAATGGCGCTTCTATGATTTTCGTTCTACTTCGTCGCCTTCGCCTCCTTACCGGCTGATTCATGGTCGTCTTTCATCAACATTTACCCACTCGATCTTCAACTCTTCCTCTTTCCGGCAAGGGCTCCTTTTAGGGCATGCGTTCTTGCTTCGTCTGGGCTCCTTCTGCGGGTCGATTTTGGTGAGAGGTAATTACTATTATTGACTTCTTTTCTTCCTTCCCCCCACCCCTCCCCTCCCCTCATGTTTTACCTCATTTTAGATTTCTAGGCGCTTCGTATTGGCCTTTCGGTGATCATAATTTGGGACGTTTCTGAACGTTTACTTTTATTTCTATAATTTGAGTTCTATTGTATTACAAATTGAAAGTTGAACTCCAACCTTAGGATTTTCATGATCCAAGTTTGTTGAGGATTGAGGATCGTTGGGAGGGAGTCCGACGTTGGAGGTTTATAAGTAAGGAATACATCTCCATTAGTATGAGGCCTTTTGGGGAGTCCAAAGCAAAGCCATGAGAGCTTGGACAATATCATACCATTGTGGAGTGTCGTGATTCCTAACATGGTATGAGAGCCATGCCCTTAACTTAACCATGTGAATAAAGTAGTTGTGAGCCTCGAAGGTGTAGTCAAAAGTGACTCAAGTGTCGAACAAATCGTGTACTTTGTTCGAGGACTCCAGAGAAGGAGTCGAGCCTCGATTAATGGGAGGCTGTTCAAGGGCTCTATAGGCCTCATGAGAGGCTCTATAGTGTACTTTGTTTGAGGAGATGATTGTTGAGAATCGTTGGTAGACATACGTGGAGTGTTGTGATTCCTAACAAGTTTGGGAGAAATTTGAATTTGTTCCTTCATCGGTTTCTTTATTTTTACATTTCAATAGGTTGAAGGATTATCTGCAATAATGGCAATTATGAAAGACAACAAAATGCTGTCTAGTTCTTACTTTACCGGAATGCATCATCCTTCATGCTGTTTGATCTCTCAGGTTTGAAACCCTTGTGTTCGAGGTGTTCTATTCGGGTTATCTGTGTCGATCTTAGCAATGGGTTCGAAAGGAAATGATATGGGGGGCACTACGATCCCAAAGGAGACACAGAACCAGGATAGAACTCCGAACTCAAAGGTGGCTGGTATGGGAAGCATTAGCAGCAAAGATATGGTATTCAGAGCAGATATGATAGATTTGAAAACCCTAGATATGCAGCTGGAGAAACACTTTAGCCGTGTTTGGTCAATGTCCCAGAATCAAAGGCCAAAGGAGGAGTGGGAGATTGATTTGTCTAAGCTTGACATTCAAAAAGTTATTGCTCATGGGACTTACGGAACAGTATATAAGGGTGCATATGACAACAAAAAGGTTGCAGGTAAACATCTTATTTTTGATGATGTGAAATTGCAGCTGAACTGAATACATTTCTATATTACCTGAACTGTACTTTTCTGTGTTATAGTGAAACTGTTGGACTGGGGGGAGGATGGTCTTGCCACTACTGCTGAAACTGCTGCTCTGCGGGCATCGTTTCGGCAAGAGGTTGCTGTTTGGCACAAGCTTGAACATCCTAATGTTACAAAAGTACTAACTCCTTCTTCATGTTCTTATAGTGAATGGTTGATGAAACATTGAATTATATGACAATTGTATGGCTATATTTTTCTGTATGTGAGTTTTATGTTCTTTTAACTCTGGATTTGAGTGGTTATATCTTTCATAACAGTTTGTTGGAGCTTCAATGGGTGCTACAAATCTTAAGATTCCTTCAACGGAGGATCAAAATTCACTTCCATCTAGGGCCTGTTGTGTTGTCGTTGAGTATATTCCTTGTGGAACATTAAAACAATTATTGATAAGGCACAAGAAAAGGAAACTTCCCTTTAAGGATGTGGTTCAGTTAGCTTTGGATCTCTCCAGAGGGTAACTCTTTCTCTAACAATGTTGTACATCATCTTTTCTAAAGACGAAGATTTGCTGATCAGGATTATACTAATTTTACAGGCTTAGCTATCTACACTCCAAGAAGATTGTGCATCGTGATGTCAAAACTGAAAATATGTTGATAGGTGCTCACAGATCTCTCAAAATTGCTGACTTTGGGGTTGCCCGTGTTGAAGCTCAGAATCCAAGAGACATGACTGGGGAAACTGGTACCCTTGGATACATGGCCCCAGAGGTAACCTTTTCATTCTCTTCTTAATACATGCGATTATTACGCACTTGCAACTAGAACCATGTCTTGATGATTATGCACATTCGTTTTGAATCATATATGAATCATATATCATGTCTGAGTTTTTGTATAGTCTGCGTTAATATGCCAATATTCTACTACATTTTATAGGTTCTTGAAGGGAAGCCATACAATAGAAGATGTGATGTCTATAGCTTTGGCATCTGCTTGTGGGAAATTTACTGCTGCGATATGCCATACCCCAATCTTAGTTTCGTTGATGTGTCATCTGCAGTTGTTCGACAAGTATGGAAATTCATGTCTCTTTATGTCTCTTGTTCAATGCCATTGTTCTTATGTTTGTTGGCATCAGAAGGGGTAGAACTTGGAAATGATATCTATATGTTTATGTAATTAGTTAATGAAGAAGAACTGAAGCATAAGCATTTTGTTTTGGCAGAATCTGCGGCCCAGTATTCCGAAATGTTGCCCAAATTCTCTGGCAAATGTGATGAGGAAATGCTGGGATAGCAATCCATCCAAGCGCCCTGAAATGCATGAGGTTGTGAAAATGTTGGAAGCTATTGATACAAGTAAAGGAGGGGGGATGATTACTCGTGAGTACTTCTTTGGTTGCTTCTGTTTCAGGCCTTTCCACAGGCTCCGTGGTCCATAATTCATTTATGCTCTTATCATTTGATGATGTAGAAATAAGGAGAGTCAAAACTACGATGGTTTTTGTTTCTTTTGCGTCTTGTGTTGTCAAGTCATGATATTTCCTAGTAACTGCTGAAGTTTGCTCTCATATTGTGACTGAAGTTACCAATCTGTCTTTGTTTCAAAATTTTTCAATGAAGATTTCCTTTTCGATTTGTGTTGATTTGTGCCTTTTAAGAACTCTGTCGTTTAGATTTTATTATGGGATAATCCAACCATCTCCATCAGACTGAACTTCTTCATACCCACTGCTGAGAATGACTCAAAGCATACCAGAAAGCTTCACGTTTCTATTTGTGTTAATTATGTGTGCTATATAACTGCTGCGTTTTGTTGAAGGAGTTAGGCTCCATGGAGCTCTTATGAAGATTGGTTTAGAGAGAGATATGTTGGTACTAGTGCTCTAATACATCTGTTTGCTCGAAAGGTGTTTGATGGAATGCTTGAGAGAAGTGTTGTTTCGTGGACCTCCTTGATTTGTGGTTATCCTTGGACAGAATCTTCCTGGGAAGCTGTGGCTTTGTCTCTCCAAATGATCGAGGCAGGTGTTAAACCCGAATCTGTCACAATGGTGTGTGGGATATCGGCTTGTGTCAAGTTGAAAGATCTTACACTGGCCAAGAAAATTCATGGTTACATTGATGAGACAGAAACGAGGCTTAATACTCGTATGGTGAATGTTCTTGTGGATATGTACAAGCAATGTGGAGAAGCTGGTGCTGCAAAGCGACTATATGATGAATGTGTGGATAAGAATTTGGTTTTATGTGACACAATCATGTCAAACTTTGTGTGCCATGGTGTGCGGAACTAAGGTACTTGCTGTCTTAATGATATGTTCCAAGTAGATCTTCGACCGGATAGAGTTTTCATTGTTTTCGACAATTTTGCGTGCCATGATGCAATTTGAGAGTATGTCAAATTCCCATTGTGTTGTGAGACTCATTACCTGTTGGTTATATTAAAAACAGAGATTTGGAGCAAGCTAAGAAGATATTTAATGAGATGCTTGAAAAGGATCAACACAACACAATGGTAAATGCTTTGGTTTATGAGTATATGTGTGAGATCCCACGTTGATTGAAGAGGAGAATAAATGCAAGCAGAATAAATGCAAGCAATGACACTAGATTTTGAAGGAGTGTAGATCGTAAGATCCCACATCGATTAGAGAGGAGAACGATATAGATAATAGTGTATCTACTATTGTTGGACAATATCTACTATTGTTACAGTATGTTTGAGAAAGTAATTAAACTTGTCCAAGAGATATATGCCTATATTGTAAGGAACATCTACTATGATATGTTACTCGAGATAGCATTAGTTGATATTGATATGTTTGCTAGGCATAGTGACCCTCATAGCATGATGAAAGTATTCGACGATATGGATAGAAAAGATGTCTCGGCATGGACAACAGCAAAGGGAATGGCAAACCAGCTATAGAATTTTACAATGAGATGCTTAGGCAAGAGTTGAAACCATATCAAACAGTTTTTGTAAACATATTAACAGCTTGCAGCCATGGTGATTCTGTGAAACAAAGGCAGCACATACAGGAGGAGTCAGTCCATGAATCAACTAGGAATCTCCCCAAAGATTGTTCATTATGGTTGCATGGTTGATCTATTAAGCCGTGGAGGTAAGTTTGAAGAAGCTCTATAATATTACAAAGAGCATACAACGAAACCCAATGGGATTATATAAAAAAACCTACACATTAAAGTGCAATGTGACTGAAGAACTATGCTGTTTCTATTACAATTCACATTGTCATCAACATGTTAGCCTTCTAGAAAGCAGCTTTCAAAGTTGGGGGAAAATGGAGTCAACATAAGCTTCGTGCATCGGGTCTGATAACCACAGTTTAGCAACATGATGATGTGACGAGGTGCGCCTATGAATCTCTTCAACCAGCCATACAGTTGCTTCAGCTTTACTAGGATGAATTACGGTATCCAATGGCTTATATTCATCCACACTACCGAACCTTAATTGATCCCACTGTTTGAGTAGAATGTTAGTCAAGTAATGCAAAGGCTGACCATAAAGCTGCTTTATAGATTTGCCTAAACCCATCCATGTTGTAAATGGTATTACAGAACCACGTTGTGCTGGGATCTGGATCTGTTTCATGTATTCTTGATACATTTCGGCCCTTTTAATCAACATACCTGCATCGTTAAACGACATTTCAAAGACCCTCTTTTTTAAAGCTATGAACATGAAAATTTATATATACAGCAGCATTGATCATTAAACACTATGAATTGATCTTATGCAATGCGTCAAATTACCTTCAGCTGTCATTTCTTTGGCAGGAATTTTGAAATCGTCCATGGAAGGCTTGAACTCGAATCCATCATTTTGTACTCCTGTTTCTGAATCAGAGGAAGAAGATTCACCTGATGATATAACATCTACTTGTTCATTCCACGGCATTGGCCTCTTCATTTTGTCAATGATGTAATTCTGGCAAGAAGTGATCATGGGTTAGCTATGATGCCGATTAATACAATACAGATTACCAAATAGCAGCACGTTTAAAGATTCATGTGAGTATACGAAGAGTTAGTAATATGAGATGCCAACCACAATAAATAGATCCAACAGATACAAAAGATTACTATTGAGATGGAAAAAGAGCACAAGAGCTTTTAGTTAGCATAAAACAAAATGTACTTCAAACTTTCAATCTCATGTTCATTACAAAATTTAATCACAGACATAGAACAAATTAACCAATTCAATTCTGGTTCTGGGTCCAACGCAGAAACAAATTCACCCTATCAGGCCATCACAATCTTACTAATAGACATCTCCATTCTCAAAAACCACCTCGCACATGCAACTTATGGAGCAATGCACACAGTTTCCGCCAGGGATCACACTCAGATAATAAGCAGTGCACTTAATAACCATCGCTATCTAGGGCAATTTCTAAGAACTTGCATCAAACGATGAATGTTCATCCCTCTAAGCAACATTCTGGAAGACCCCACCAACCAAGTGATAGAAAATTACGATCGACTTCTCAAACAAACAAATAAACAATAAATTTTCATACAAATGCACCGAAAATCCCATCGGACCTGTAAAATGAAAACATTTCAAAGCAGAGTAAAAACAAGTGGAAATTAAAGATTACGAGAGTCGATAAGTAGAAATCTGAAACGGAAAACAAGGATAGAGATTATCGGACAAGAAGCACAAAACCAAGTGAATTTATTACATATGAACAGAGATGGTAATGGATCGACAACAAGCGAGAGTGATGGTGAGTACCTTCGTAATTCGAAAAGCGAGAGAGAGCGTCCAATCGTAGAGATGAAGCTCCTCTCCGATATGGATTTTGCGACAGATCACCAATATAGCTCAGTTATTCATCGAGCTCGAATTTGAGAGACCAGTTTTGAGTTCGCGGCGTTTGGATTTTGCGCGAGGGGAGATCGGAGACGTTCCACATTTGTTCAAAAGGCCGGTTCAACCACCGGTTCATAGAGCTTTAGCCCACAAAGTTACACCCCTTGCTTTACAATTCATTCAATGCATAAAGAAAATATTTTTTAAAAAATTTATGACAAGGGTAAAAATGGTAACACATTTAAATTTTGAGGTGAAGACGGTAAATTTCATTTAAAAAATAGAGAAATGGTAGTAAGTAGCAAAAGAAAATTAGAATATTAGAAAGCCACCAAGGAGAAAGATTATACTTTAATTTAGTTTCTAAATTTTAGGGACTTTATAAGTGCCGAATAAATCACTATTATATTTTATTTAACTTAAAATTGAATTTTGTGTACAATAATACCCCTAAACTTTTGGAGTATACAAGAAATGCATGAATTTTTAAAATACCAAACAAATTATAAAAGAATTAAACACACCATAAAAAATTTATAAATATATTAGACACTAAATAAAATATTCAAGAATTTATTAATTTTTTTTTTTTTAAATATTAGAACATACTTGACACACTAAAAAAATTAGAATCTAAATTTGTAATTTAAAAAATGATTTTAAAATAACTTTTTAAATTATATTCAGTTGTAGAGCAGTCTGCTTAGATATATTACCGTTTTTAAACCCAACCCCAAACCCTAAATGGATAATACATGTAATTTATTTGTTTTTTTTAATGAAAAAAAAAAAGAGTTTACCTCGGATCGAACCGAACCGGTCCGGAGTTGAGTTTTAATAATTGTGGGATGTCTCCATTTGGCCGCCGAAGCTGTTGAGATGGGCGGAACTCAATCGAACACCTCTCTAAATTTTCATGGCTAGATCATCTCGCCTCCCCTGAGCATATATATATACACACACATATTCTGTTCTTGAATGAGCCAAAGTTGTTCGAAATGGCATCACAGTTACAAACTCGCATCATTTTTTCCTTGCGGAACTCGATTCGTAGCTGTTACTCAGCCAAACCTCTCTGCACCATTAGCGGATCGACCCAAGACTCCGAGTCCCCCGAACTTCCGGACTGGGTAAAGTTCTTCGATACTAGAAGCTCTTCTCATTCAGATTCTGAGGATGACGTCTTCGTTATTCCTCCATTGGCGCATTGGCTCGAATCCCAGAGGCTCGAAGACCACAGTGAAGTTGGCAAGAAGAAACTTGGCGAGGCGAACGATAATGAAGTCGACAAAATAAGTATGATGCTAAAGAATCGATACCCATCACCGGAAAATGTTGCAGAAACTTTGAATGGAAGAGCTTACAGGGTATCGAACACTTTGGTTGCACAGCTGCTGAAGAGATTTGGGAATGATTGGATCCCAGCTTATGGTGTTTTCAAGTGGGCGAAAGACCAAACACCTTACCGGCATTCACCTGAATCATATAACTCCATGGTTGATATCTTGGGGAGGGCAAAAAAGTTTAGACTTATGTGGGAGTTGGTCGATGAGATGAGTCATATAGCTGCGTATGTGAGTCTGGAGACGATGAGTAAGGTTATTAGGAGGCTTGCGAGGGCTGGTAGGTATCAAGAGGCAATTGAAGCATTCCAGAGGATAGAGGAATATGGCGTTAGTAAAGACACAGCAGCCATGAATGTGTTGATGGATGCATTAGTCAAGGAGGGCAGTGTGGAAGATGCCCACAATGTGTTTGAAGAATTGAAGGGTTCAATACCTTTCAATTTGACCTCTTTCAATGTTCTAATACATGGGTACTGCAAAGCTAGGAAGCTAGATGAAGCATGGAAGATCATGGAAGAAATTGAGAGACAGGGACTTGAACCTGATGTGATTTCCTACACTGCTTTCATTGAAGCTCATTGCCGCGACAAGGACTTCCGAAAGGTGGATAAGATTCTGGTGCTAATGGAACAAAAAGGGTGCAGGCCTAATGCAGTAACTTTCACCATTATAATGCAAACTCTAGGGAAGGCAAAACAGATAAATGAAGCTCTAAAGATATATGAGAAGATGAAGAAAGAGGGTTGTGTGCCTGATAGTTCATTCTACAGCTCCCTGATATTTATTCTTGGTAAAGCTGGTAGGCTCAAAGACGTTAAGGAGATAGTAGAGGACATGACAAACCAGGGGGTTAATCCAGATGTGTTGACATATAACACAATGATATCTTGTGCCTGTGCGCATTCGCAGGAAGAGACAGCTCTAAGATTGCTACGGAAAATGGAGGAGGATTCGTGCAAACCAGACCTCAAGACTTACCACCCTTTATTGAAGATGTTCTGTAACAAGAAGAGAATGAAGGTGCTGAAGTTTCTGTTAGATCATATGTTCAAGAATGATGCAAGTATTGAAGCTGGGACTTACTCGATTCTGGTGCGTGGGATGTGTGACACCGGAAAAATCCATCTTGCTTGCTCGTTCTTCGGGGAAATGGTGTCGAAGGGGATGGTTCCAAAAGACTCCACATTCAAGATGTTGAAGGAAGAACTTGAGAGGAAAGGTATGTCAGAAGAAATGAAAATCATTGAGAAGTTGATGCTCTGTGCAACAGAGCAAGATACGAGTTAAAGAATAAGATTCATAATAGAGCAACTAGCTGTCTGAACTATATGTTTGTTCAAGCAATCTTCTCAAAATAGGGTCTCCTACAAGAATGTATCCATTTACAGTTCTGCTAGAGAAAAAGGACCAATGCAAACAAACATTTCTATGTTCAACATGATTGCAAAAACACAAATTTAAATACAAACATTTCTACTCAATAACATGAATATAACATACAATCATATAGTATAAAGATGAATTCATAACTATATAAGATCGTGAATAGCTTCTAAATTACACCCACGTATTTCCTTAGAAAAAATGAAATATTGTTGGGAAGGCGTATACAAAAATCATTTTGTTTGTATCCGCAATGTAAAATAAAAGGTAAACAGATTCACTCACGTATCCAGATTTACCAGAAGGATTCATACGGTAACTAAATAAGATAACCTACGTCTAATTGGAAGGGTCAAAATGTAGAAAGAAACAACCTTTTTGCTTGGTGAGGCTCTGTTCTATATAAATACATTAGCGTGATAAAGAAAATGTTTGATAGTTCTCAGCTTTTTGAGCCACTGTTATGGAATTAGTGTCTCAGAGACGTCGTTTAACACCAGAGGATAGGAGGGACCTTGAGCGGATACTCGACTTCAATTGCCTTGTTCTTGGTCTTTGCCATCCTAGTCTTCCCAAAAACTCCTCAATCAACCTGCATACCAATATGTAGCAATTAGAAATCACGCAATGATGAGATAGGATAACACTAAATGTTACCGGAGGACTACGGGTATCGTACATGCTGCAGACTGACTTCTGTGAAACTGCCAGTTCGCGGTCCGGGAATGATTCCTCCAGTCGGAAACTCAACCAAACATAGAGATCCAACACCTTCAAATACAATAGCAACAGATACATAAACTCAGCATTTGGAGGTGGACTACATTTTAGATAACATTCCACCCACCATGGACTTGAATGTAACGAAATAGGAAACCAATAAAACTAAAAGCAAATAAGCAAGTTAATTAACTTTGGCCACCCTTTTGCAACTAAGAATGCTTGTCAATCAAAAATGGAAAAGCTGGAGTGGAAGCAAGCCATACCATTATTATATGATTGATGAAAATTTAGGCCTCTATTTTATTTATATGGTTGCTTACTTTTTGGGATGCCTAAGCATTTGTAGCATTATTGTTTCTAAACTAACTTATTTGTGTAATGGAGTGGTTTCAACGTCTAGACTAGGTTAATCTAAACAATTTTTGAGCCATTCAATAAGTTCAAGTTCCAAATCTCATCAATATTCCAGAATCTTGAGAGAAAGAGAAAGAGAGCTTAGAATTATATTTTCACCTTGTGAACGGATTCCAGCTCCTTCAGTGCAGCTTGTGTTTCTGGCACTTGAAGCGTTCCTGCTGTGAATATTTCTCGTAGCCGAACAACGCCTTTATTTGCATATTTTGTAGCAAACTGTTTCATTGTGCATAATGCATGCAATCATATAAGTTGTCAATTTATCAAAATAAAATATAACAATAACCACGGATTAATTAGACCTGTGTAAGACCTTGGGATGTAATTTCATCAGCCATGTCCACAGGGCTGCATTAAAAATGGGGCACCAACTGATATTAGTATAAACGAGTTTGCAAGGAACTCAAAAAAAAAAAAAAAGGTTTCTGATGATAGATTAAAACTAGTATACTGTGTCAAATTGAAACCTTCATCAGTGAAAAGCTCAGAAATCTACAAATGACTGATAACAAGATGCACTTTCCTTTTACCTTATACAGAAAAGGTACTTGTCATGCAAACTGAGAGGCATCTCATCAAGGACGGCCGCAACTTTCTGATTCCAAGACATTACAACATGAAATATATTAAAGAGGCATTACGACGACAGTAAAATAGTTGAACAATACCCCTGCTTTCAACAAGACATCATCCAGTAGACAAACATACCAGCATTTCTTCACAGTCAGCAATGAAATAATTTTCAGATAATTTAGCATTCTCAACAAAGTGCTCCTGCATAAAATATTAAAATTATGAAACGATATTAGTCATAAATCTATATTATACATATAAAATGGGCGATGAGAAGAGGAACTCTCTCTATCCATTGTGACCCTCCTGGACTAGTATCATGAATGGAGAAAAACCCTAATCTTTCAACATGCTCTGCTCTTGTAACAAATGCATATCGAACCAAATCAAATACTTGCAACTACCATTATTTAATTAAATGTTGCAATACAAATAACTAACAAAACTATGTTAAAAACTGCCAGGAATCTGATCAGACTATGTCCTATTGGAACCACTTTATAATGTCTCTTATCTCATGGATGCATGAGGTACATAGGTATCAAAGATCAAATATTAGATACCCATGATTAATTACTAGTTAGAACGATTAATATAAATATATCAACAATTTGCAGAAGAACGTCAAGCAGCAATCTACCAGTATCTGCCGCAGGCCATTTTCTGGGTGTAGACGGGAGTATAAATACATGAGTTCAAAAGTCGGAAATATCCCAGCTCTCTGCATCAGTGAGTTTTCAAAACAAAATAATAAAAAATGTTAACCATACATCGTAGATGATTTAAAAGAATTACATCAAGCCAACAATCCAATTTTGGGTAATTTATTACTATATAAAAGATCACCTCTATAGTGGGAGAAGCGGACTTCAACGATGAATGAAGCAAGGGCAAATCATCTCCATTTATACATGTTACTTCACCAATGGGAAATTTGGATCCGTACCTGCCCGCTCTACCTAAATATAAAACAAGAAATAAACCCCAATTTATGAATAATACCGCAGGTATGTGGAATTATGAAACAGTTTGTTATTGATGTTTGCAAAATTTGATGAAGTATTACGACGGCAAATAGCATAACAAAATGATACATGCATCCAACAAACAAAAGATGGGCCTATCTTTATGACTCCAAAATTGTTCAGACTCTGATCTTATACAATAGTCAACATCTTCCATTTGCAAACATGGAGACAATAAGGTTAATTCCAATTCATCCGGAGTGAAGATCATTGAGACCAACCGTGATAAGCATGAAGAGATATTAAGACCTCATCAAGGAAAGAGACTGGCTAACTACTTTAAAGGAAAAACTATATGGTGTATTAGAACTTTGAATAGGGCAAGAAGTTAGAACTTGGTCGAGCAAATCTGAAAGAAATACATTAATAACCAGTAAGGAGATATTATCAATTGAAGCAATCATATTAAATAGTTTGTAAATAAAGCTGAGGAACTAAAGTGCCTTAGTCGGTATTAACGTGCTATAACAAGTATTCAAACTCAATTACGACCTTACTTGAATGAGATCTGTTCAATAGGTTATATAACAGTATCCTTGAGTTCTTAGTATTCAAGCTCAATTACATGCCTTTAGCAGACACACCTTACAGTTTCTGACTCTTGAAATCATCATAAGATTCGTAGAACGATTCATGTTCTACGAATGCAGGAATTGGAAGTCTCACAGAGCAGATAAGAATTGAAATATCCATGAATCTTACAATCCACTGATTTCTGCTATATTTTGATGATAGGCTGATAATCCATAGACACGTCCAGGTTTCTTATCAAAAAAAAGAAAGAAAAGGAAAGAGCGTCCTTAGACAATCACTAACCCCCATAGCAAGTCCCAGCATTTGCCCCCAAATTTTCAATCAAATTCTAAAGAACATTTCCTCATATTCATAAATTAATGCCAGTTTGATTACCTGCAATCTGTTTGATCTCTGGTACAGTGAGATCCCGCATCTCAAAACCATCAAATTTCTCCATAGTTGAAAATATGATCCTCGAGATGTTCAAATTAAGACCCATTCCAATGGCATCGCTAGCCACCAGCACATCAAACTCACTGGTTGTATCATTGAACATCGTTGCCTGCAGTTCTAAGAAGCATCATAACTCAGAAAATTCAGGGTTGCCAATATAATCAACCACTAAAGTTGGACATGGAGCAAAGTAGTTAATTGTAGAAAACTTTTAAGAGAGAAAGCATGCAAAGGACAAAAGAAAATTAGTCACTATTTAAGAATATCAATAATGAAACTCCTATACAAAATTGGAAAGTGGAGTTATAACCAAGCCAAGTTAAAAGTTATATCAAATCAGGCAGATTCTAATACCTGCCTCGTTCGAGTTTCTGGTGGTAGTGAACCATAAACTACAGAGCAAAGTTGTCCACCCTCGCTTTCAATTTTTCTCTAGAATGAAAAAGAACAAAAACAGTTAAGAGTTTAAAAATTACACCAAAGTTGTTGGAGGCAGCGAGATAGCTAGTTGTTGAACCCAATAAGCAGTAACAGTAACAGGAGGGAGAGATGGAGATAACTGAAGTTTCAAAACTATGCGGGTAACAGTTTTGGGCAAGAAATTATCAAATGAAGTTTTTGAGGCTGTGCAAATAATAAGCATTAGATAAGATAATAAAGAGACTGACCTTATAAGCATATATTTTACGACGTGAAAAGGTGACGATGCAATCACCCTTCCTAATATTAGAATACGGTCCAAGTGGAACTTTCATTGGAATCAGAGGTGAAAGTCTCTCATAGTATTGCACCTAAAGAACGAAAGTGCTAGAAAGCTTTAAAAAAAAAATATGAATATGAAGTAAAAGATAATTATCAACTTGAAGCCTTGAAATGTTAAAATGGATGGAAAGACCACCAGATATCAATAATAGCATATATCTTCCAAACTCATACGATGGTTTAATAGATATAACTGTCAACTTTGTGACATGACATAGTAAACACTGCAGAAGAACACCTATAATTTTTCACATGAGAAGAGTAACATGAATAACTTTCATTACCTCAATGTCATCACCGGTTACTTTGAGAATTTCCTGAATAAGGGGTACAACAGCCGCATCTCCACAAAGATGAAGCTCATCAGCACAAATTCCAAGTAGTGCACGTGTAAATGAATAACCTCTTGTCTTACATCCCAACATCTGAAGTAAGAAGACCCATAACAAATTAACTAAGTTTAAAGCTACAATATTTTATTTCAACCAAGAGTTTACAAGTTAGAGGCCCAATTGTCCTCAACCACTCTACTAAAGAAATCAAATCAATTTTGGTACCTTAAAACACTTTTAATGACTCAAAACGTGAAGCTTAACTCAAATATAAACGTATATATTACAAGCATTCATTTTGTCTTTTTTTAGGTACAAAGAAAGAAAATCTTTATTTTGTGCTTGAGTCATGGTGAAGCTTCAAAAAATTAAACCTAATGTTATCAGAGCATGGTTCTTTTTTTTTTTCTTTTTTTTTTTTTACTATTGCAAAATTGCATTCCAACTACCCCAGCTATATCTAATTCAATTACTAAATATGTATAGCTACTTCAATTACTAAATATAAATAGCTACAATTTTCAGCACTAACAATTACTACAGGACAGAACTTTCTTGACTGAGGTATCATCAATTTTCTCAATGGTGATTCAAATTCCTAGGAGGGAACTGTGGTGAACATGCCTGAATTTCATCGATAACAGCACAACTGTAGTTGGAGGTTACATCAGCCATCTCAACAGTAACAGCCTTATGTTTTGCACCATCAACTTCCTCTCTTTCTTGTCCAGTGATCAGATCACAAGGGATTTTAGCCTTATTCAACCGCTTTGAGACTTCCCAGGCCAACAGTCTCAGGGGACCACAATATAAACCTGCATAAGAAGACAAAAGAAGGGATTCAAAAGATATCCATGACCATGATTTAGTCTCTCCATGATAATATAGAATCAAGAGAACAAGAAACTACAAACATAAATTCATGATATCGATTGGCATGTACCAGAATCACTTGATTCAAGCCTCTTCAAAGCATTGTGAGTTTTGCCACTATTTGTTGGACCCATGTGCAGAAAAATTTTGCGGTGTTTCCTTCGTGCATTTGGATACCATGAATGGGGGCGTCTAGGAGTACAAAGAACCCAATTAAGGATTAATAAACAGAGGAATGAATGTAGCTCTTGCAAATGGTTTACAAGAATTATAGATGGGTATGCAGAAGTAAAATCATTGGTCACATAAAGATAACGGTTAGAACTCCAACAAAAACAAACAATTGGGAAAATAAGGCACTTCTCGATCTTCCCTCTTAAAATAACGTGAATTCTGGACTATATGGAGATTTTACCACATTGTAGCTAATCTCCGTGACTGTTTGATTCACAGTCTAAAAAAGTATCTCTGTTCCAATTGTATTGTAACTATTAATTGGTAGAAGTAATAGGTTCGATAATGGAACTAGCAATCATATTGACGCAGTCACACTAAATATTTTGTCTTCTGGTAGGGGTATCGAACTTTTAAAACCTTCTGAATAGACTCAATTCATCATAACCCCACAGTACATTATTAAGATAATTTAACAGTTGAGAATGCAGGGGAAAGCAAAACTATAATGCATACAGAAGTCAAACGCTTGAATTAGAAATTTCACGCAGTTTTAAGCCCAATAGTCTTACGTCAAGTCTGTGAAGTCAAATTTATGGGTACTGCTGTAGATACTGTATAGCCTACAACAAGAAGGTCCAAACTTCAACTGGAATTCCTGGTTTACTGCCCCCACGAAACCTGCACAAGTAGAAAACAAAAACGTTCATGCAACACAAAAAGGGATTCGTATTTGCCATGCTGTTGTACCCTAATGTTTTATCTTACATGCTTAATGATTCGGTGTTAACCCCATAGACCAGTTCAATAAACATACATGGAATCATTCATACTTTCCAACAAAGCATGAGTTTACTTTTAGTTTCTCGCAAAAACAAATCCCTGTCTCAACAAAATAGATTATTTTGTTTTATGCAAAACGAGCAAAGTGGAAAAAAGAAAGCCATAGCATCAATCATAACACAATTATCACATACATTATAACTTATCTAACGCCCTACTATATGCAAATACTATTTTGGAAACATTTGTTTTTCAAATTCCTTCTAATGTTTACCAAAAAAGGTCCACATTGCAATGTCCAACTCGAAAGCCAACAAATTCATCCAATTCTAGCCACGGGATCCAGAAAAAAAAAAACATTTGCGACAATATTGCACACAAGAACCAATACAAATAAAATGGAGAAAATACTCTCTTTTTTAAAAAAAAATAACCATGAAGAAAACATTCCTCGATGCAATTTCGCTACCCTAATGGCAGAAGAACTCTTCAAACATCAAGAAAATAAACACAAAAACGCCATAGACATAATGCCTTTTCATAACCATTCTCTTAGAATGACATCCAGAATCAATTCCATCGTCAATTGGGCTGAACTATCAAGCCTTCGAATAGCTAAAAACTAAAAAAGAAACTTAACAGCAAGGACTAAATACGCAGCCTATTGACGACACAGCAAACGAAGCAGACAGATAAAGAAACACAATAAACAAGGTAAACAACAGAAACAGGCGCAGAGAATCAAACCGGGAAGAGCCGAATAACCCGCCGGAGAGAAAAGCATGCGGCAGAAATACATCGACGCCATTGTCATTTAGGATTAGAAGCAAGTTGCGAGTTGCAAAGACATGGTGGCTGGAAGAACATGAGTGTGTGTGAAAACATGGAAAACGAAGGAAAACATGTGGTCAGCTGAAAATCGCAGAGGTTTCTTCCATGGCCAATCCAATTCCCAAATTCATTCACTGAATTCTCGGAGCTTCGTAGGCCTGCCTTTCTTCCTCCTACACGCAGACTTCGGGTCCTGAAATCTTCAACCAATGACTTCTATGTTTCTCTTACTCGTTTAGTGGGATGCAATTGTGGCGCCTTCGTTGTACCGCGCAAAATGGGGCGCTCTCAATTTCACCCTCTACACCAACCTGGAGTCGGCTGGTTAGATTAATTAATTTAATATTCATTATTTTTTTAAATATTTTTTTGATTTTATTAATTAATTTAATTTTAATTTTTCATGAATTTATTGTGTAAATTTAAAAAATCTATCATTAGATACAAAATTTTATTTTATATTATATTTTATGTAAGTTGTAATTAAAAAAATTAAAAAAAAAAACCCTACAAAATTTAGTTTCAATTATATTTTACTAAAAATGAGTTTATTACGGAATTATTTTGTTACCATCTAGAAATTATCCTCAAATATCAATTGGCTATAAATACTCTATTAATCATTTTAAAATTATGCTCTTAAAAATCAATTTTCATGTTTTTCTTTAAAAAAAATCTTCAAATTAATTTTTTTTATTTTATGAATAGTGACTTATTTGTTATCAAACATTATAATGGCAGGGGCAAAACAGTAAGACAAATAACTATATTGATTAAAGTGTATAAAAAAATAAAATAATAATAAAATACCATGGGCTCACTCATAAACTTCCGGCCCAATTCAAACGATGACCGCAAGAATAAACAGTGGAAAGGCCCATCAATGTAACAGGCCCAAGATCTCAGCCCATAACGATTTTTTTTTTTTTTTTGTGCTAATTTTACAAAAAAAATAAATGTTTTTTTTTCCCTTAATTTTTACGAGGATATTAATGGTACAATGATGATGCTTGGAGCAGCATGCTTGTGTGTCCGGCCCATGTTCACATGACCAGCGTGCGGGTGGAAATGCATTATTTATTTACATTAATCTTGTTATTAGTTAAATAAATATAAAACTAATTCCGTAATAATAATAATAACAGTAGAGGAATATTGTAAATTTGCACGCCCAACACAAACTTGCAGGCTTCTAATCAGGCATGCCGGGAACCTCAAACACTCCTAATTTACTAATACAATTTTTTAAAAATAAAATTTCCATTTCTATTTATTAATTTTTAAGTAACTAACATTCTCACAATTTACGTGCTCGAGGCCAAAGTTAGTTCTTCCTTCGATTGATATGAGTTCTCACAATCTATCTCTCTTTGGGGCCTAGAGTCCTCGCCAGCACACCATCTAGTGTATGGCTCAAGTTAGAAAATATTGTCCTAATTGAGTTTTCCCTTTCGAACTTTCCTTCAACATTTTTAAAATGCTTTTGTCAGGAAGAGGTTTCTACACCCTTATAAAAAAAAATGTTTTGTTTCTCTCTCCAACCGATATGGGATCTCACAATTCACTATCAGAGCGTCATTGCTGACACTCGTTCCTCTCTTCGATTGATGTGGGATCTTACATCATCACTCCAATTGCCTGAACGTCATTTAAACCAAACGAACGCTCCATTTCAATCACTCGACACGAGAAAACAATACCCACCAAGAATACTTCTGAATAAAAGGAGAATCAAAACCAAATCTTCGAAGGCAGTGTTTTTGGAAGAACAAAAGAAGATGAACAAGTGAAATAGGCAATGTGCGTAATTATGAATGAGACAATAGAAAGAGATGAACAATTGAAAACCACACGTTTTGTTGATAGCGAAGAAGGTGATAGCATTAATACTATGAATGCGAAGGCCTTTTCTTGGGTCAGCTCATAATATCAGCCCCACACAACTCTCATCAATGCCTTCTCTATTTTTATCACGCATCAATATCTCACATTTATTGGCCAGTTTTTTTTTTTTTTAATTTAAATATTTGATCATACAAAATACTTTTTAAAACCAAATGCTATAATATCTCCAACCGTTTGATAAAGATTTGAATACAAAATTAAAAGATGACACGTAACTCAATTTTATATATAACAAGCTTATGAACTCCAAGAATAATATATATATCTTAGCCTAGACTCACCGCTAGTAAATATTGTCATGTTTGAGGTTTCTCCTTCAAATTTCCCTCAAAATTTTAAAATGTGTATGCATGTACGAGTGATTTTAGGGTCTCAAAACAAAGCCTATATTGATAGGAGGAAAGGAAAGCATTTGATTTTTACTTTTTGACTGTAAGAAAAAGATGAGTATAATATAAATTAATTGTCTCACTTCCTTCTTTTCAGTTCATAGGGTGGTCCAAAAATCCTAGGTTCTAATATATATTTTTATCATGGATCTGCATGAACTGTTCTACTAGATTATTAAACAAAACACACATAATTATTAATTAATTATCATCAACACATGATTAAGGATTTGAATCTTTCTCCATACAATTTAGTATAAGATTTTCTAATTCTAACTTTAGATTTTTTTTTATTTTTTTTAATGGATGATAGATATTTTATGAACCAATTATCAATATCCAATATCCACTTTCACTCGGAGTCCTACGTATATATGCTCGTCCACTGCCTAACTATTAAATTCAGGTTTGGTCAATTTATATTTTAAATTAAGGGATAAAAACGAAATGACTATGGATATTACAATAATCAAAATAAAATATTTTATACTCTCGTGTCGTGTATACATAATGGTACGTTAAATTATACAAAATATTGTCATGTTACAACCCTACATTTGAAAAGGGTTTCATAGCTTTAAAACGGTTCGAAATGAAATATTTCAAGAAAATTTTCACATGGTAGAAGAATTTAGAGTATCGATACACACAAACTAAAAGGTATAAATGACATCATTTACGATTCAATTTCAACTACATGCAAAATTCAAATCGTCACTCCAATTTATTGCAATTCAAAAGTTATTGTTTACATCATTTACACTAACGTTTAAGCAAAACCAAGTTTTTACATTTTAATTTCTTCACGAATGATGTCAAGTTCGTCTCTCAATGTGAGATCTCATATTGGTTGGAGAGATGAATGAAATTCTTTATAAATGTGTAGATACCTCTCTCTATCGGACGAGCTTTGAGACCTTGAAGAGAAGTGCTTGAAGGGAAAGCCCAACAAGTATAATATCGGCTAGCAATGAGTTTGAGTTATTACAAATGGTATCAGAGCAAGACATGGGGCAGTGTGATAGCGAAGACACTAGGGCCACAAGGAGGGCGAATCATGAGATTCCACATTAACAATGTCTGCTAGCGGTGAGGATAATATCTACTAACAGTAGACTCGAGCTGTTAGAATAATATCTACTTGCGGTGGACTTGAGCTATTACACTCGATTCTTACATGTTGGGTTTGAAGTGAGAGTAGTTCGATGGTGCATCCAGCTCGAAATTGGGTGGGTTGAAAGATGAGAGGGTGAGGGACAGGGATGATCCCAAACTAGAGAACACAGCCCCAAGGATTAGAAGCATAGTCATTTTCAGTGGTACCCATCCACCATTTTTTTGCTCTTTATGGGAATATTATCTGCCCACTTCCATACAAAACCAAACACTCAAAGGTTTGCATCAGTAACACAGGGTATAAACAAGCAGTAAATTACAAAGAAAGGGACTTGAGAGTCGAGACACAACAAGAATTATTAGCCCCTTTTACTTTTCTCACATCTTCTAAACCCTACCTTATTTTTAAAATACATACGTCACAAACTCATACTACCCTACTTATTTTGACCTCTAGTATTTTTATTTTTTAAGAACTAAAATTATCGTTGTTGGATGATGTATGAAGCTTTTTGGGGAATCCCAAAGCAAAGTCATGAGAGCTGATGCTTAAAGTGGACAATATCATACTATTGTGAGAGTCATGTTCGTCTAACAATCATTTTTTTTAAGTACGCGATTACAATGAATCAAAGTGATCCTAGACGAAGTTAGTATTTATTAAATAATAATAATAATAATAATAATAATAAAACTTTTATTTCTATAGTCGCAAAGCAGGAATCTTTCTGGGGGTGGGAGAAAAGAAAAAGGGTTAGAAAAAGAAAAGGCAGCTTGTTACTGGTGGCAGTGGCGGTGGAGGTGGAGGTGGCGGTGGCGGTGGCCGCGATTCGCCGGTCTTGGCTGACTTGTGAATTGTCTATTTTACCCCTCCTGAGATTCACTGTCCCAGGCTTGGCTTTGGATGTGGTCTGGGAAACAAAAAGCAAAAGCGCCAATCAAATCTTCTCCCTTATTTCTCTTTTTCTTTTTTTACTTTTATTTATTATTATATTTTTACGTGGCAGGATGAATATGCTGCTTTATTTTAGCGAGACTATGTATACGTTTATGAAATCTCAGCCGTTCATTAAAAGTAGTATCGGGATCTTCTGAGTCGTAAATGTATACCTAAATTCGTAATTTTCTATTCATGCTTTCTCACATGAAGTCCATTACTCGATGGTAGGGTATGAGCAAAAATCAAACAACCATTTTCACCTTATCACTAATTACTCGACTTGAACGATTACAACTATAAAAATAAACTGATACAACATTTGAATGAAAATAAAATTAAATATTACTGTTTAAGTTCCGTGATATTCTAAAAAAATTTGGGTGAAACATGTGAGTGAGGACAAAGACGCGCTCAAAATGGAATTATTAATGTTTGTCGTGATTAAATGACAAATAATATCTTTAAAATTGTCCACGTGGAAATAATATAATTATTTGAGAAAAATAGTTTGTTTGTATTTCATTCATAAAACTCATCTTTTTGACCGAATAGAATCTCATTTAATTAGGATAAGACTTTTATAATAATTCCAAAACATGTCACGTCAATAAAAGGAAAATTAAATACTATTTGAAATTCGTAATGATTTCAATTTCATTAGATTTTTTTTTAATATAAAATGGAAAAAAATAATAATAATACCGTGTCCATTAAACTTCAAATTAATTTAAATTCTAAAATTTAAAACTATTTATCATTTTATTTCATTTAAAATCAATTCAAAATAATTTTAATTATACAAATATTAATTTATGCTGTTATAAACTGAGTGAAAATTTAAATTTTAAAAATCAATTAGTTGCTAGATTAATGCTTCCTCTATTTTTAAAATTTAACTAACCATTAGAAATGTATTTTTAAAAAGTAAAAAAGTAAAATAAAAATTCATCACTAATTTCTTTGTTTGATTTTCCACATATAAAAAATACTTTCGAAATCTTAACTAAAGTCAAAGGAAAAAAAAAAAAAAAATCTTTAAACTACTTTTTCATTCTCAAAATCTTGACTACCAATTAAAAATTAATTATTTTTCCCAATTTGATTTACAATAGCCTTTATCTTTTTTAAGAAAAAATTTAAATTTTTAGTCAACTTTCAAAAAAATAAAAGTACGTTTTAAAAAATTTAATATGAATTTTGAAAACATTATTAAAAAATAATAAATAAATAAATAAAGGCGAGTACGAGATAATGTTAATAAATTTAATTTTCAAAATTCAAATAGTCACTCGACCTATAATTATCTATTTCGAATTTCTACTATTTAAAAAATAAATATTAATAAATAAAAAAAAAAAGTATAACAATGGTTTTTATTTTTCTTCTAATGGGAAATAATTAAAAATATTTTTAATTTTAAAATTTTTAATTTTTAAAACATGACTTTTATGAGACAAACTAAATAACTAAAAGAAAAAGGGAGTGAAAGGAATCTGATGATGAGGGTTTTACAAAAATAAGAGGAAACATATAACAAAATTCTTTTATAGATGCTTTGAATAATTGATTAAAAAGATGGCTTGGTGGGTCCCTCCATTTGAACATCTTCAACATGATCCCGTTTTGTGTACTAGGTTTGATTCACTCGTTTAGTTACGTATGACCGTCGGCCTCACAGTTTCAAAACGCATCTATTAGGGAGAAGTTTCCATGTTTTTACAAAGAATAATATCACAATCTAAGGGCTAAAGAGGACGATATCTGCTACAAATGGTATCAAAATTAGCATGGTCAATGTACTGGCGAGAACGCTGGCCCCATGGGAGGAAGATTGTGAGATCCCACATTAGTTGAAGATGGGAACATAACATTTCTTATAAGGGTATGGAAACCTCTTCTTAATAGATGTATTTTCAAAACCGTAAGACTGACGGCGATACATAATAAGTCCGAAAAAATGGATAACCCCACTAACATTGCCTCCATCTTTGGATATACACTAAAACAAACACAAAAAATGGGCCCATTTTTCTCTCTTTATATGTTTCCTTTGCATTATTATTCAATCTTCACTTTATTTTCCCTCTCTTTCTAAATGCCCACCTTCCAACACATTCTTCTATATTTCATACAAAAAGCAAAACCACCATCCTTATCTTACCCACCATTTCATTATCATACAACATTATATTATATACTCCATAGTCCACTCTTCATCGTCCTTCTAAATAAGATATAATAGAAGGATGAACGTAGAGACTTGTCGTAAGGATACTGTTCATTCATTTATTGATTATTATAATAAAAGGAATACATGAATGAATCGAGACCATATCTAAACGAGAGTGATTTTGAGGATAAGTCACTATCTATACAAATATCATGCACTTTCCTTTTCAGTAACTCAATCATACGGGCTCAAAATGTAAGCATGTTTTGCTTGCAATAATTTTATGTTGGGTAAACTAAGCATGTTGGAAGGGCTCGTTGATTTTGTTTTTTTTTATAAAATATAATTTATTGTAAAGAAAGTTGGGATAAAGGTTTGAGGAAGGGAACTAAAATTCAAGGCTAATGGTTATGATGAGTGAATTAAAAATTAATTAAAAAAAAGACCCAATGAACATTATGATTATTGGAGAATTAGGGGTGTTTTAATTTAATTATTATTATTATTTTTTACGCTAAAAAAGGTAGAACAAATAGAAAATAAATATTAAATTTTAATAATAATAATAATGATAATAAAAGCATAGAGGTAATGAATTGGAATGTTCCGCCGTAACCTCACTATATTTTGTCCATTGAAAGAACACTTTTTATTTTTGAATTTTTTTTATTTTATTATTATTATTATTATTATTATTTTATGAACCAACCAATGATGAGGAGAAGGAAAAAGCCAAATGGAACCCATCACAGTCAAAATTGAATAAAACAACGATAAATTAAACAACGGCCAGGCTGGGACGACGGCGGTTGGGTGATTTTGACGCTCAAGGTGGCAGAGCAGCCGCGCGGTCGGCGGCCGGAATGCGCGTGGTCTCAATCTGACTCCATTTTTTCCAGGCTTAAACCCATGTCCTTAATTTAGAAAATTTATAAATTTGATTAAAATAAAAACAGTTCATTCCATCTTTTAGATTTTTCATTTTCTTTCCAGCGGACCTCTTATCTCACAATCCACCCTTTTGGGAGCTCAGCATGCTCGTGGCACACTAGACTTCTTACAATCAACTCCCTTGGGAGGCCAGGGTCTTTACTGGGCACACCCTTCGGTGTCTTCTTATGAGAAGTGTTTTGTTTTCATCTTTAACTAACGTGAGATCTCACAATTTATCTTTTTGGAGGCCAGTGTTCTCGCTAGCACAACTTTCAGTGTCTGTTCTAATACTATTTGTAACAGCTTAAACTCAATATATTCTTATTTGTAGACTTTCTCTTCTGAAATTCTCTTCAAAGTTTTGAAACACTAGGGAGAAGTTTACACACTGTTCTAAAGAATGTTTCGTTACTCTCTTCAACTAATATAGATATGAGAGTATCGGGAATGAATTCCATATCCCATGACATTCAAGCCATGGTAGAAAATACCCAAAAAAGAGCATGAATTTTGCTTGAAGTTCCTGAATCATTGGGGTCTCCTCTACCAGTAAAAATTCTAAGCTAAAAAACATGCACATTGGTCCAGAAACTGCCTTTTTTCCTACCTCTTCCAATCATTATTTGATGTGTTTTGGTATATAGTTGAGTATTCTCCCTCTGTTCTTGTCTCTTCCAAGGCAAAGGGTATTTATCTTGCCTCTTGTTGTTGCAGAGATTATAAACAATTGTAATACAAAGGCGTAAAGTTGAAAGCTTTGATTAGTTTAAAACAAAATCTGAATGAAGCGAGAAGATGGGGGGAAAACACAAACCCCAAGGCGTTAAAGAAGGCAAAGGATTTGGGGTAATGACCCTTTTTGTGAAGTTACTGTACCTTCGCCCCCAAACATTCTTTGGGTAACAAAAGAAGAAAACAAAAAACAAAGACACAAAACAAAACAAAACAAAAAACATTTAGTACTAATATTATACATGTCGCTTTATCTTTATTGCTATCTTTAGATTGCTTTTACTTTGATGGTAGACCAAAACAGGGCAGGAGAAGAAGGGCATAGGGGAGGGGGTGTCTGTGTCTGTGTCTGAGGCTGCCCCTTCTCCATGGCTTTGCTGACCGAAGAGGGCAGCCTTTGGTTGAGAGAAGGGTAAAAAAGAAAGCTAAAATAAAACACATTCCCGTTGCTCCATCATGAAGAGAGACCCTTAACACTGACTCACTCATTCTCTCTCTCTTTCTCTCTGCACTTTAGACTCTTCAAATTCGATACTTTGCTGTTTTTTACAGAGAACGAGAAGCTCTATGGGCTTTATATCTCTCTAAAACTTTCTCTCTCTGCATTGTCTTCTTCTACTTCAAGAATCTCTCCCCATTTCTTCTTCTTTTGGGTCTCTTTGGGTTTGATCTTCTTAACTGTTTGTTGAACTGGGTGTGTTTGGTTTTTGTGGGAAAACCTAAGATTTTGGCTGGAGAATCCTTGTCCATTTTGGATTTTGATGGGTTTTTTGAGGATTTGAGGCGAAACCCACAGATTCTGAGTGGGGGAAAGAGTTGTAGTGGAGCTGTATGAATTAGTGCTGGAACAATGAGAGATGAGAATTCTAAGAACAGCAAGGTTCTTCTTCAATTTCTCTAAAACCCATCTGGGATTTTGTTTCAAATCTTCTTTTTGTGAACAATCTGATTGTTGTTTGGTGTCCCTTGTTGGTTTTGTAGCTCTCATGGTCCAAGAAAATGGTCAGAAAATGGTTCAATATTAGGTGCAAAAGCGATGATTTTCAAGCGGATGATGTTGCTTATAGAGGTAGCTCTTTGAATTTCTTGTTTCCTCAATTGCAGAAACCCAAATCTAAAGCACTCCATCCTTTGTTCTACAGGAGGTGAAATGGATTACAGAAGCAGCAGCTTCTCAGAGAGAGAACCATGCACCATCAAGAAAAGCAAGACAGGTTCATAAACACACCCCACTTCAGCTCTCAGAAAATTGTTCATATAAACTTGGTTCATCTTCTTCTTCATGAAATTTATCATTCTGTTCATCAATTCACAGAGAAATTCAGCAAAAACGGCGAGCAGGGGCGGCGAGGGAAGATGAATCTTGACCATCCTCGTATTATAGATGTCCAAAACTATAGGTAAAGAATTTGTTCTTCGTGTCTTGCATTTTGGTTGGTTGGTTGGTTTTGATTTGTAAATTGAGTGGCTTTGTCTTCAGCATTTTTGTTGCTACATGGAACGTGGCTGGAAGATCTCCCCCTAACAATCTAAATCTGGATGATTGGCTTCATTCTTCACCCCCTGCTGATATCTATGTTCTTGGGTAATGATTATGGTAACCCTTTGCTCATCTTTTACTTGCTTTCTTCGCCTTGGAGAAGAGAATAACGTTGGTAAGTTTTCAGGTTTCAGGAGATAGTGCCATTGAATGCTGGTAATATACTGGGAGCTGAAGACAATGGCCCTGCTAAGAAATGGCAGGCTCTCATTCGAAAGACTCTTAACAATCTCCCAGGAACTAGCGGTGGTAATGCATGTTATACCCCTTCTCCAATTCCAAAGCCCATTGTGGAAATAAATGCAGATTTTGAAGGGTCTGCTAGGCAGAAGAATTCGTCGTTCTTCCATCGCCGATCGTTTCAAACAACCAACAGCTGGAGAATGGACGATCCATCAATACCACAGCCACGACTTGATCGAAGATTCAGTGTTTGTGACCGTGTTATCTTTGGTCATCGGTCGAGTGATTTTGATCCTAACTTTAGATGGGGCCATAGACCAAGTGACTACTCAAGATCAAGTGACTATTCCAGGTCCAGTGACTTTTGCAGACCAAGTGACTACTCTAGACCAAGTGACTTTTGCAGGCCGAGTGACTACTCAAGGCCTAGCGACTGCTCACGATGGGGTTCGTCGGATGATGATAACGTTCCGTGGGAGTCACCGAGCACTGTTTTGTTTTCGCCAATGTCCCATGGTGGTTCTTCATCTCAGGATGGTGGATATAGAATGCCAGGACATTCAAGATATTGCTTGGTTGCAAGCAAGCAAATGGTTGGCATATTTCTCACCATATGGGTTAAAAGTGACTTGAGGGATCATGTCCGAAACATGAAAGTTTCTTCTGTTGGTAGAGGATTGATGGGCTACCTTGGGAATAAGGTATCAATAATTAGATAACAATAGCAATTTTACCTTCCAATATCTTTAAATGTTTTGGTTCATTGAAACAAAGTACTTATCCACTGCAGGGATCAATTTCTATCAGCATGTCATTGCATCAGACAAGTTTTTGCTTCATTTGTACTCACTTAACATCAGGAGAGAAAGAAGGCGACGAGCTTCGAAGAAACTCAGACGTGATGGAGATACTTAAGAAGACGAGGTTCCCACGAGTGCACGGTGCAAGCAGTGACGAGAAATCCCCAGAAACAATCCTTGAGCATGAGTAAGATATTTTTTCATCCTCATTCGTATTTGTATCATGTTCATTAGTCTTACCGTGTTAAAATCTCTTGCAGTCGAGTTATTTGGCTCGGGGATTTAAACTATCGGATCGCTCTTTCGTACCGGTCTGCCAAGGCACTCGTTGAGATGCAAAACTGGAGGGGATTGCTTGAGAAGGATCAGGTAAGACCACATAACCTGATGCTTTGGAGCTGAATTGGTTATAGTTATTTAGTGAACCAGATGGTTTCTGTTAAAAGTATGAACCAACTATTTTCGAATGCAGTTACGAATAGAACAAAGACGTGGGCGTGTCTTTGCTGGATGGAACGAAGGAAAGATTTACTTTCCTCCGACGTACAAGTATTCGACTAATTCAGATCGATATGCAGGGGAGGGCAATCACCCAAAAGAGAAACGTCGTAAACCCGCTTGGTAAGTCCATCTTGCTAGCCATTCTATTTAATCTAAACTCATTACACATTAGCTTAACAGAGAAGCATGATGCTGATTTACGTATTCTGTTTATGAAGGTGCGATCGGATATTGTGGCATGGGGAAGGCCTCCATCAGTTATCTTACGTTCGTGGAGAGTCAAGGTTCTCAGATCATAGACCGGTTTATGGAGTGTTTTGGGCCGAGGTTGAGTCGAGCCGAGGGAGATTAAAGAAAAGCATGAGTTATTCTAGTTCCAAGATTGAGGTCGAGGAGCTTCTCCCATACGCACATGGATACACTGAGCTGAACTTTTTCTGAAAGTGAGATCATATGGCTACACAATGCAGCCATAAATAAAGTGAGGCCTGTGGAATCACTTAAAAGTAAGCTACCCCCCCACATTTCCCCAACCTTTATAGCTAAGCCATTCTGGCCTATCTTTTTTCGCCTGACCCGAAACTTTGTATGTCGTAATCCTCGAAAATTTTCGAACAAGATTCCTCCCGAAACTAGATTAGGATTTGTTTGAGTCTCCTTTACAAAGCTTTGTTCCACTCTTCCATAATTCAACCCTCAAGAAAGCTATCTGATTTGACTGCAAATCTGGTCCCAGATGGTGGTGGAGCTCATCCTTGAAGGTCGATCGAGACGTTTCATAGCCCATAGCCCGAAAAAGTATGCTTCTCCCCCCCTCTGCTTTTCATTTTTCTCTTCATTCTTTCTTTGAAATACTTATCTTGGTTCTGCTGTGGGGTCTTAGCTTCTTTGTCTCCTATTGCTTGTTCTTGTTCTCTTTTATCAGGTCCTCATTCCTTCCTTCCCAACACATTGTGCCTTTGATCATCACATCTTCTTAGCTGCATAATTCGGTCTCGTAATCGACGACGCTTAGCTTTCAGGTAATGATCGTTACGCCCATTAATCAATAATTATGGCTTCTTCATGCTCTAATCATAAAAAGCTTATGCTTGTGCAGGATTGGAAAACAGTCATTGAGTAAAATTCTTTTCCTCCCTTCATTTCTTCATTCTTTCTCTGTCTAGGAATACACATTGGTTGCTAAATACAAGTGAATGATACTCATTACCATAGTGATGTAAAAGAGGTGAAAACCTCCACAAGAAAAGTTAATGAAAAAGATCATTTATTACAGTGTGTGAATCCTGAATTCCCCCTCCTCTCCTGTTGCATTTCATTACTTTTACTGTAAAAAGTTGGCTTTGTTGATTGTCTTCTCAGGCATGCCTTCTTCTTATTATATCTCATCACAAGCCAGCCTGTGTTGGGTATTCAAATGAACAAAACTAGAACATAAAGCAGGGGACAAAGTTGCAGGTTTTGGCAGTAATGGAAACCAAGATTCAGAAAAGAGCTTTTGTTTTGTTGTTTATAACTTTAAGATTGTTTCCCACTGGTTGGTTGACTGAAAGGCCCAAAAACAGCCCCAAGTAATTGTAATCATGGCTAATCAATCCCTTGAGACATCATCAGGCCAATTTTAAAAGTAGAGTTGTCTGTGTTTGTCTATGGGATCCACAAAACATGGACACTGCTAAAACAACCTGCTGCTGCCATTTCTTTTCTGTGTTGTATTATGATTTTGTCTAAACATGCTTCTTCTTGAGCTTGTGGAGCGTGGAAAAGTTTGGATATAAAAGGATAAACTTAAACCCACATCAAGTAAGGTCTATCATCAAGGCCTGAAAAAGGCTGAAACTTCATTGGATTCATACAACTTAAAATAGAACTTTGTTATTTGGTTTGAAACATGATTGTTGGATTTGGATTATTTGACTGGTTTCAGTTTTGACTATGCTCGATCGAGTAGTAAACCTGTGAAACCTGCGATCTCGAGCTGAAAATGTGAGATCTTATATTGGTTGGAGAGGAACAATTTTTTTTTTTTTTTTAAGAGTGTGGAAACCTCTATACAGGAGACACGTTTTAAAATTGTGAGGCCGACAATGATACGTAACGAGTCAAAGCATATAATATCTGTTAGTGGTGGACTTGAAACGTTACCGTGGTACCTTGACCTTGGAGAGATTGACTTGACTAGCCTTCAGCCAATGTGGACAAGCCTAGATACCTAGAACAACTCTTGGGTCGGTCAAAGCATGGGCGTAGGGGTTGGCCAAGTTTTGCTTGGATCGATCCCAATGAGTGGACTCAACTTCATCACTTGGGTTGTCCTTGACTCTAGCGAGGACAACTGGCCTCGGCTTGGCCTGTTGAATCTATCATTGGGCCTTAGGCTAATTGGGTCTTAGCCTTCACTCGATTAAGTATATGTAACAATCCACCGCTACCTCTTTGGGCCTTTTTGGCTTCCCTGCCTCCTATATTCAACCTTCAATTCCACTGCCAGTAGATGTTGTTTTTTTTAGCTCTTTTTTTCGATTTCCCCCTCAAGATTTTTAAAACTCGTCTGTTAAAAAGAGGTTTCCACACCCTTATAAAGAATGATTCGTTCTCCTCTTCAACCGAGGTGAGATCCCACAATTCACCCCTTTTGAGACTCAGCGTTCTCGCTGGCACTCGTTCCTCTCTCCATTTGATTTGAAATCTCACAATTCAACAATTCACCCATTTCAGAGTTCAGCATTCTCACTCAAGTCTCACCCCATCCTATTTTTGTTTCATTTGAAGTATTATTGTTCATTCATAGCACCAAGGTACGGTCATAAGTAAAGATCAAAATGCAAATATAAGCACAACTTAGATCCATCTCATCTCGTAGCCACTGATCATCACTCACTACTATCCATGAGAGGATGAAGATGAAGCAAGTTACCAATATTTTAAGAACTTATATCCTTTTTGTTTGATTCCCACATGAAAGAAGCCATGTTTTCGAACCAAATACCTGATGATAGTGATCCCACTTGCATGCAAACTAACACGTTGCCATTGAGGTGTCTAACAAAAGCCTCACCCCATCGCCGCGTCGGCGCCCCTCAGCCCACCATTTTCACTCCTCACTCTCTCAAATTGTCTCCTTGCTCCATATCCTCTACTCCACTCTCCTTGAACCCATTATTTGCAGCTGTCTCCTCTGTTTTTTTCCTACTCACTGGTGCGTCTTTTCACCACATCACATGACACCTCCATCTCTGCCAAATTCGACACTCGGCGATCAGCATGTTACCTTAATCTTACTCCAACTTCGAGCTCTAAATACTATAAGTAGGCATTATGGATGTGGCTGTGAAGGGCATCTCGGGTCTCAAACATGGCGTTGTCTAAAGTTAAGCTTCGTTTGTGTCTCTTGGCGTTTACCCTTTTTCTTGCTTGTTTGTCTGTTGGTTTGGGTGCTAAGGGTGAGAGCCTTAGCAGCGGGGCTGGGGTTGACCATGATGGATGTGTGAACCGGTGCGAGGAGCTGAAGGGGAAGAACGTGGATGAGTTTGCTGCTTGTAAGAAGGGATGTGGAGTGAACCAAAGGGGGAGTCCTCGTGCGGAGTATGAGGTGTGTCGTCTCCGGTGCCAAGTGGCGGAGCGTGGGGTGGAGCAACAACGTAGGTGTGAACAGGTCTGTGAGGAGCGGCTGAGGGAGAGAGAGCAGGGAAGGGGGGAGGATGTTGATGAGGTTGAACGGAGAGATCCTGAGTGGGAGAGAGAGGAGCAACGTCGGAGAGAACATGAGCGGGAAGAACGACGTCGTCGTGAACGTGAGAGAGAGCGTGAGAGGGGTAGAGGTCGTCGTGATTTGAATGAGAGAGATCCTAAACGTGAACAAGAAGAGAGACAACGTAGAGAGCAAGAACGACGCCGTAGAGAGCAAGAACAAAGAGAGCGAGAACGTAGAGGCGAGAGGGACGAGGAAGATGATGAAAACCAAAGAGACCCAGATTGGCGTCGGGAGCAAGAACGCAGAGAGCAAGAGCGCCGCCGCAGAGAGCAAGAGCAAGAGCGCAGAGAACGCCAACGCAGAGGTGGGAGGGATGATGAAGATGAAAACCAAAGAGACCCAGATTGGCGTAGGGAGCAAGAGCGCAGAGAGCAGGAACGACGCCGCAGAGAGCAAGAGCGCAGAGAACGCCAACGTAGAGGCGAGAGGGATGATGAAGATGAAAACCAAAGAGACCCAGATTGGCGTAGGGAGCAAGAGCGCAGAGAGCAGGAGCAAGAACGCAGAGAACGCGAACGTAGAGGCGGGAGGGATGATGAAGATGAAAACCAGAGAGACCCAGATTGGCGTAGAGAGCAAGAACGACGTCGCAGAGAGGAAGAACAGAGAGAACGAGAATGGGAAAGAGAGCATGGGAGAAGGGGACGAGAAGAGCAGAGAAGCAGGGAAGATGAACGGAGACGTCAAGAACGACAACATGGGGGAAGAAGCCGTGTAAATCAAGTAGCCATTCGACGGACAGAGCTAGAACAGAGCAACAATCCCTACTACTTTCAGGAGCAGCGTTTTCAATCAAGGTACAGGTCTGACCAGGGCCATTGGAGGGTGCTGGAGAAATTCTCCGACAGGTCGGAGCTTTTAAAAGGAATTAAAAACCAACGATTAGCAATTCTTGAGGCCCGCCCTCACACCTTCATCGTCCCCCATCACTTGGATGCAGAATGTGTTCTCTTGGTCGTAAGAGGCAAGTTTTTTCCTCTGTTTTTGGCTTTATGGAAATGGAGCTTGTTTTAATTTCGACATTGGCTTTTCTAGGAAGAGCGACGATCACTACAGTAGTCCAGGAAAAGAGGGAAACTAGAAAAGAGTCTTACAACGTTGAATCCGGGGATGTTATGACGATCCCGGCCGGAACAACTTTATACTTGGCAAACCAAGAAAATGAAGATCTCCAGATCGTGAAATTGGTTCAACCCGTCAACAATCCGGGCGAATTCAAGGTTTTGAGGACTTTTCTTCAGAGAATTGAATGATGTTCCAGTGGCTTTTTACTCAAGCTTCCTGGTTTTGTTGCAGGATTATCTATCCGCCGGAGGTGAAGCTCAAGCATATTACAGCGTTTTCAGCAATGATGTTCTCGAAGCTGCTCTAAACGTCAGTTTCTTTCTCTTCTCTAAATGGACACTCTTTTAACTTCCCAGAATGATATAATTATTGGAATGAAATTGCAGATTCCACGAGATAAACTAGAGAGGATATTCAAGCAGAGAAGGGAGAGAGGAGGAAAAATCATAAGGGCATCACAAGAGCAACTAAGAGCGTTGAGCCAACGAGCCACCTCCGTAAGAAGAGGTAGTCGGGGAGTCAGAGCTCCGATCAAGCTCGAAAGCCAGACCCCTGTTTACAACAACCAATACGGTCAAATGTTTGAGGCTTGCCCTGATGAGTTCCCCCAACTTCGGAGAACCGATGTGGCCACTTCCGTCGTCGATATCAAACAAGTATTGTAGCCAGCTCTCAAATCCACAATTGTCCAATACCTAGTTCATAGAATTCTCGAATATAACTTTTTATAAACGTTGTTGTTGTCATTTTCAGGGTGGAATGATGGTGCCTCACTTCAACTCAAGAGCGACATGGGTGGTGTTCGTTTCAGAAGGAGCTGGATCCTTCGAGATGGCCTGCCCTCACATACAGAGCGGCCAATGGCAGCGAGGAAGGAGAGAGGAAGAACGACATTGGAGAAGGGAGGAAGAAGAGGAACGCGAAGAAAGAAGCGGTAGATTCGAAAGAGTTGCCGGTCGTCTATCAGAGGGCGGCGTACTCGTAATTCCGGCAGGCCATCCAATCGCCATCATGGCTTCCCCTAATGAGAATCTCCGCTTGGTCGGGTTCGGAATCAATGCCGAAAACAACCAAAGAAACTTCCTCGCCGGTAAAGATTGTACAAATTACTCGTTAATTACCCTCCCCCAATTTTACTACCAACAAAACCCTAAATCATGAAAATCTCACACAGGGAGAGAGAACATAATGAACGAATTAGACAGAGAAGCAAAGGAACTTGCCTTCAACGTAGAAGGAAAGCAAGCCGATGAGATATTCAGAAGCCAGAGAGAATCGTTCTTCACAGAAGGGCCGGAAGGTGGCCGGAGGAGGTCGACGGAGAGAAGCCCGTTGTTGTCGATTCTGAAACTGGCCGGTTACTTCTGAAAGAGAGAGGAAGGAAATGGAGGAGGGCGCGCTTATGAATGAATATCTATGAAATGGAGAGGGCGCGCTTTTCAACCTTTATATAATATTATCTTTTTTTTTTTTTTTTTTTTTGGAGTTTTAGCT